CCAATAAATATGAAATTTTACTACACATTAAGCATCACATGATAAGCCTACCATAAAAATTTCACGTCAATTGAAGCAATATAACAGTAGATATGAATTTCTCCCTAAAAAGCATAGGAAAAAAATCTAGAGCAAGATTTTTCTACTAACACATACAAGATTATACATCCACTGCATAGATCTAGTCATGAGATTCCATAACATCTTCATTTTCTATTTTATGTTTTTTCTATAATTTTCTATTAATTTTCAAAGTTTCAGCCGAATTATTGATAAAAGAAAAAACATATAAGATTAACACTTTTCACAGGGTCCCGGGACAAAATTTTAATTAATTCACAATAAAAACACTATGCATCACTATTCATATGAGTCTAGGACTTCACATCTGGAATCCTGGAAAAACTTCTAATCTAATTTTCACCTTGCTTCTTCTTCTCCATCGTAGGCAGAGCAAAGAAGGTCGGACTCCGGGTCGCTTCGACGAGAGGAGGCCATGCCGGTGGCCGAGGAGTGGCGGGGGAGCATCGGGCTATCCACTGCGCCCGAGGGTGGCACCAGCTGGGCTAGGGACATGTCCAGCGGCTCAACCACGTGCGTGCATGGCGCATGAAGGCGTAGCTCGAGCGGCGGCCATCTACAGCAGGGACAAGGCCGGAAAAAGGGGCCCCCGGTGGCGCGCAGCGGTGGAGGCGATGTGGTGCTCGGCTGTGCGGTGGGTGGCTACGAGGGCGGAGAAGGGAGTGGCGGCAGTAGAGCTCGGCAACGGCCGTCCGTGGCGAGCGAACGAGAGAGAGCGAGACAGAGAGCGAGCAAGAGAATGAGAGAGCCAGAGAGATGGAGCGGGCGCTCGGTCTTCAAATCGAACATGCGAGCGAGGTGGCGATCAAGAAGTAGCTCGATGAGGACATGCGGCGCTTCCCTACGCGAGCCCAGGCGACGACGCTACCTCTGCAACAGTTCAAACAGCCAAGGCCCAACTGAAACCCCCGCCTTGGCTCCTCTCTATCTCGCGATCCAAGAGACAAAAGATCAAACCAATTTATCTAGGTTGTAGAGCTACATGGGCACAACAACTTTTCTTAAAGGACTAACATCAAACTCTCACTGGTTTGAAAGATTTTGAGTTTTGAAAACATATACATGGAAACTGAAAACTGAATTCAGTTTCAGTGCTTCCATATTATATTTGATTAAGAATTTTTAGGTAATTAATTAGTGGGAAAAACACTTTCAAACAATCCAACCAATGGCTCAATATCAAAGTACAAACATCAAACCAGTTCATAGAAGCAAAGTTGCACAAATTTTATTTATGAAAATTAATTTAATAATTCACCAAATATTGAACTTAATAACTGATATTCAGGGACTTAGAAAGATTTTTGGAAAGCTAAAACAACACTGCATTCAAACTTGTGATCATTGTTTGAAGCACTTAAAAGCTGAAACAGAGGATGATGCAGAAACAAAGTTTCAAGAACATGACCTACTCTACAACTTTTATTTAGACAAACCTTTCATATTTTGAATAAAAAGGAAAGTTACAAATTAAGCAAAAAATGGATCATGAGAAAGGCCTAAACTAGGGTTTTGGATATTTTTTAGCATTTTCTTCACATTTTCCAAATATAAACCCTAACTAACTTTTATTCAAGAGTTAAATTAGAGTTGTTTGAACATGAATGCAAGGTTTAGTTGACATCACATGTTTCTACTTAAGTAATAAAAGTGTTTTTAAGCAAAGCAGAAATTATCATTTCATATAACTTTTTGATCCAAACAACATGCAACTTTTCATGTGACCAGGATATGTTAATGATTAGGTGATGCACATGAAAAGACATGATTAAAACTACTCATGCACATTTTGAAATAAAATTTACTTTTAAACAAAAGAGTTTTGTCTTTGCCTTAGAAAAGTTTAAGTTATGTCATATTTGAAAGAATTTGACTCCACCTTTGTCACCACTTGTCAGGTGTTAAGCTAAAGCTTACAATCATCCTTTGACTTGTTTATATTAGACTTAATTCACTGCTTAACTTGAAATTGACACCTGGGGTGTCACAATAATGAGCCTCAAAATCCATAAAATGATATTATGTTGTCGCACTGAGGAAGAGAACTAATATGATCTAAACATCCATAATATAATCATTTTACCAACAATTGGCATCAAGGCATGTATACAAAAGAAAAACCCAGCAGACCAACATTTTTTTTGCGATGAAAGAAGAATTGTATATTAGATAATAGTGGGGTACATCAACATGATACAAGTACTCTAGATTACATAAATATCTAGAAACTAATTTTCATCTAAATTGTACCCACGCTGTGAATAGCTCCAAATCTCAAAACCAAACCTGTACGATGCTTTGCAGTATGGATGACTGCACAGGCAAACACTCGGCAAAAGCCCTGAGAACAGATGCCCAACGAACGATGGCCAACATTCATGTAGGCGGAGTTGAGAAACTTCTTCTTTATGGTGTCTTCCTTCTTCTTTCTGCCACCGAAGAACGAGGAAGACTGATCTGAAAATTATTCTCCCTAGTCCTTCATCGTGGCCAGATCTAACCACGACAAAATAAAGAAGAGACTGAAGAAAATTATTCCATAGCGGCGACATCATCTCCACCTTGATGTTGCCGTCCGAAAAGAAAGGTCTCCATGTCGTCAAGCTGGTGAAGTTCCTGACGCCGTAGTTGTCACCCTCGTCTCCAGCCGAGCCGCCATGGAGAAAACAATTCCACCCTTCCCCTTCACCGTCACCGGAGAGGAGGAGGAGGAGATGAATACTCAATACCAACAAATTTAGCATGGAGAGACTCTAACCCTAAGAACTCGATCTACTAGAAAAACTTATGAAAACGATGGATCCCACTCCCTCCGGCCTTCGGCGAGATGGCGGAGGGGAAGGGATGGGGACTAGTGGAGGTGGAAGGCGGCGGCGGTGGCGCTGCTTTAGGTCGAGACACGCGAGAGGGGTGGACAGCAGACCAACCATTAGGAAACCAATATGAACTATTAACAGCATGCGCCCTTCTTGAAATATTTATTAATTTCCCAATGTTGTCCTGGTTTTATTTGCCAAAAATCAAGGTGTCAAGCAAGATTATGAGACCAAAAAAGAATATAATATTAAATAGTCTTAAAATAGTTGTAAACTAGGTTCTTTCTTTGAGGCGCCTTCGTATCTCTGTAAATACTATTTTTCATTTTTAATTAAAAAATCTAGTAGGGGCCTCCTCTGCTGTTCAGTTCAAAAAAAAAGTTGTAAACCATCCATAGGTATTCCAGATCTTCCTCGTGTGCTCCTCTATCTATATGGTTCATCATGCTTATTCCCCCAACATTCTCTTCCACGCCATACGCACTGGATCACTTTATAAGTTGCATATTTAAATTGCTCTATCATAGAAGTATGGCATCTGGTTACACAAACTTGAATAAAATATTCCAGAACCTTTTAGACCCTAAACCAAAAAACTGTAAACCCTGGCAGTAATGTACCTCCATTTCAATTATACACAGCAATAAACCAACCCCCAAAGCACGACACACCACCGAACCAAAGTACAAAACCCTAGGCTCCACGAGGACCAAGCAGGAAAGCACCTGTACCGTATAACTCTAGCCCAATGGAACACAATAGGAAAAACAGATAAATTGAACGCTCGATAAAACCTCAAACCACAAAACCCAGCCCACGCAAGCAAGCAACCCCTAACATGCGCGTCAGTGAACGGCTACAATGAGTACCCAATTGTGCCGCGAGATAGAATAGAGCTAATCAAAAGGAAGGCAGAGCAATACATTCCTCCACTCTTCGTCAACGACGGTTGAAACCCTAGCCGAGAGGAAGGGGTGAGGTGGAGGCGAAAATGAGAGCATGAGAAAGCGCTTCGCTTGCGGTGAGATATGGAAAAGAAAAAAAATTCATGATTACCCCTCAAACTACTAGCAAGTCTGCTTTTTATCATTTAACTGTAAAACAGGATATAAAACAACTCTCATCACCTATCAAAACTTTTGATTTATTTATGATCTCAGGTGAGAGCGAGTTGAGCCGACATGACACGGACGCGAGCGCGAGAAAGCAAGAGGTGAGAGAGGGGAGATGATACATGAGAGGGAGAGAGACGTCGAGTTCGGTGGAGGGCCAGGGTGTCAGGGATCTGCTAGTGCGGAAGTGGTCTTGAGTGGGTCCATACGTCGTGTCAGATCTAACTGAAAATCCTCTACTTTGTGTCTCTATCGTCCAGCCCGTTGTCACTGGGCTGATAGACAGGATAAACAGGATATTTGGGCTTAATTCTACTTTACTCTTTAATAATGGGCCTGTAAGAAGCAGTCCTTCTTCGGTGGGTCGATCCATATCAAATGCCCGGATCTGTTCCGTTTCCATCATTATTTCACCTAATGGGACTACATTTCTGTGCGCATAAAGCCGGCCCATCATATAATCAACACTCCATGCTAGGGACCCGCGTGTCGGCTGCCCCTAGGCAATCTCTCTCCCCGTCTCCCGTTCTCCACCTCTCACCGGCCTTCCAGCGAAGTGTTGAAGCTGCTGTCGAGCGCCGTCGCACCGGGCGTGGACCCCTCATGTCAGTGATCCAGCAGCCGACGAAAACATCTGAGCTCTGGAACCTTCGGGAACCAGCTGGCACCTCCACCACGCGCTCCTAACCGAACCCAACGGAACAGGTCAGCTACCTTGACAGCGCTCGGAAAACTTCCCCAACATGGATTTCACAGCGGTGTCCAACCGCCCGACGGGCCCCGCCTGGTTTAGGGCCCACAGATCAGAGAAACGAGGAGCCAGCTCCCGAATGTTCCAGAACCTTCACCGCACTAAACTCCCCTAATCATATATAGCCGCCAATTCAAGCCACCGAAAAATCACATCAGAAACACACCCAGATTCTTTCGATTCTTTCACGGCTCCACCCCTCTCTCTCTCGTGCTCGATCGATCGCCTCCTCCTCCTCCCATGGCCTCGGCGAACGACGAAGACCGCGCTGCGGCGGGCATCCTGCGGCTGCTGATGGGGCTGGCGGCGGCAGCGCCCGCCTCGGCATTGCCGCGGGGCGGCGGAGGTAGCGGGGGGCCCGGCCTGGTGGTGGTCCAGCACGTCATACTTGACAGCGACGGGGATCTATTCTCTGTCGGGGTCGGCGGCGGCGTGCCGCCGGCGTCGAAGGCCGCGATCGCCGCGCTGAAGGAGGTGAAGGCCGGGGAGATCGAGGGCGGGGGCGAGCTGGGCGAGTGCGCCATCTGCCTGGACGGGCTGGTGGACGCCGGCAAGGAGATGCCATGCGGACACCGCTTCCACGGGGGCTGCCTGGAGCGGTGGCTCGGCGTGCACGGCAACTGCCCCGTGTGCCGCCGCGAGCTGCCGCCGGCCAAGGAGGAAGACAACGCCGCGGCGGCGGCGGAGGGCGGCGGCGAGGAGAGGCGGAGGCGGAGGCCCAGGGCAGCGGTCGTGGTCAGCTACCTCGTGCTCGGAGGCGAGCGAGGGGAGGCGCAGGCGCAGCAGGAGCCGGAGAGGGAGGAGCCGTGGAACATTAGGATAGAGGACGTGGATTAGGATTAGGAGATTCTATGGTTAGGCCTCTGATTGCTTTCCAATTGGTTCACTGATTGGTTTGATGGTGGAGGTGGTTTTGTACATATTCTAGTGTTATGACGAGTGTTGGCCATGGGAAGGGGAATTGTGAATACTTCGAGTTCTAGATGTCGAAAACGTTGTACAAGGGAAGTTCAATTTGTTGATCAATGCTAAATATGCGTTTTCGAAAAAGAGAAGCGGTTCGTTCTCCTGCTGTTTTGATGTGCAATTCTGGCAAATTTCATCATGTTCAGTGTCAACAATTCATGCTCAGTGTCAACAATGCGTCGAATCTGCTCTATGGCTTCCAGAGTTTTTCCAAACAAAAGCGTCGAATTTGCTCTGTGTATTCTGCTGCTCTATGGCTTCCAGATCTGCTTCCAAGCAAAAACTAAGAGCGTGTGACCTCGATCTGTAGTTCGGCGTAAATCAGGGATCCGGAACCGACGGGAGCAACACGAGGTTCTAGTTCATACAGATACCCAATGGATTAATCTAACTATCTAAGCGTTGTCGCCTTGTCTAAGTTAATACTCAAGAATAGTCCTACATAAGACCTTTTTAGTTTTTCTCACAACAAATACTCCAAGCGTAATTTGCTACTAATAATACGCTCTCCGTTTAAAGAATGCAGTAGATCTTTCCTTGTTAACTAAACTAGGTTTATAGAAAATAATTGGAATAATGGACAGCCGCAAACGTGTATGTATGTGTGTTGAAAATTCAATTAGGGATGCAATTGCATCACTAAAACCAATATGTTTTAGAATCACTAAAACCATTGCTGCACACGAATTGTTCTAATTTATATAGGTACAAGTAAAATTCAAATCATCATATATAATTATACGAGATATAGAGGACACGAGAGTGACTTAGGACTTGTTTGATGCATGTATCACTCCAATCCACATGTGTTGGAGTGAAATGGAATAAAACTTAGTTTAATTCCACTCTAATCCACTTCAATACATGTGTGAATTGAGATGAATACATGTACACATCCAAATAAGGCTAAGAGGAAAAAAAATGGGATGAAATAAATGAGCCAAAGATATTTTTGGAAATAAAAAAAAAGTTCAAAGCCAAGATTCAACGTTTAATATTAGAAGAATAGATATAGAGATAAGAGATAGACAGAGATAGTTTTGTTATAAAAATATATTTTGTAGTAATCTAATAATACTCATCCCACATCATATATTTTAGTATTTTTATATTTGATTAAATTTGAGACTGATTTGATTTCACAAAAGAGATATTTATATTTTTCTTGGACGGAGGAAATATCTGAAGGCAAGGCACGTTATGCAAAAGAAAGCATGTGACTAATCCACGCGTGCTGCGTACAAGACTGAAGCCATATGTTGAGCATTTTCAGTCATTGCCTTTGTTCTGCCGGGAGGATCCACTGCACTGAGCATTTTCTCATGCATCTTGCTGTGTTAAGGTCTGCTATGATCAGATTCTGAAGGTCTGAAAATTCAGCAACCCTCCCCATCCTCCCGAGGGATCTGACGTGCACAGCACAGCATAAGCGCACACACAAAAAAAGAAATGTAGGTCTGTGGATCTTATCATCTCGGCCACTATGGTGACACAACTCTTAACTGAAGAACTGATCGAAGGGTTTAAGATCCGTATATTCAGGGCGCTAACTGCTAAGGCCACATGCCCACAACTCGTGGAAGGCTGGATACGTGTCTTTTCAAGGAATTTTCAGCAGCTTTTGTTCATACAATTCTTACTACTCTGTGCTCGCTGAGCTACTTCTGCGGCTGTTTCTGCTGTTTCTACAGTAATTTGTGAGAGCAAGTTCTTGAAAGCTGCTGCAGCCAACAGCCAAGGCAGCCGATCCATGATTAGCTTGAATTCAGGCTGCACAGGTACACTACTACAGGTATATATATATTTACACTTGCAGGTCCCTAATACAATTTTCAAGGGGCTAGCCGATCCATGATTAGCTTGAATTTGTTCCAGACCAAAAGACCCCAGATTAGCTTGAAATCTCTGTACACAATCTTCAGGGCTCAGCAGTTCTCTGTCTTTGTCGTCATGGGCCCGGTGCTTTTGGAGTGTGACGATCGTTCGGGCCTGAGCCTGGGTAGTCAGTTATCTGCAGAGCCATCCTTCCAAACATCTCTTCAACCACCGCGTTGCTTCTCCAGTTATCCTGCAATATTTTGTGCACGACTGATAAGATTAAGATCCGTTTGGAATGTAGAAATTTTATAGGAACCTCTATTCAATTTTTACAAGAAAAACAGCAAGATGGATTTTCGAAGCTCTAAACAAGGTCTAAGAAATGGCTCACACAAGCACACACACGGGCTTCTCTGAACATTTGGACTTTTGGAGTAAGACCATCATTGGCAGGGCTCAAAGCCGGTGAAGCCCCTTAAATCTAGCTTCACCGACTTGTCTACTTTGCTTGTGTGTCTTGTGAGGAGAGAGAGGAGGAGGTTATTATTGCTACACCTGCAGAGGAAAAGGCAAAGCCAGGGAAGCCCGTGCCAAAGAGGACCTAAATCATGAACATATTTTTACTCTTTCAACTTTCAATCATGCTCGGAAAATGGTTTACTTTGTACCATGACATCACTGTTTGCCCTAACTGTTTTTAGTAACCTGTAGTTTTGACTGAAAAAAAATCAATGCACAAATGATCACCTCGAATGAAATCACGCACTTTCAGATAGCTCAACTATACACTCGCATGTAAGTGTAACAGCTTCAGACATCTATCCCTGAACCATTTATCGTTAACTTGTGCTCTTAGACACACTATACAAAGGCACAAATAATTCTCCAGGCCATATTTTGTTCAAAAAAGAAGAAGAGGAATAATCTGACTTTGAACAACAAAATTACGAAGCTAACTCTCAAGGCTGTTTATTTGTACTACGTACTACGGCATCTAGCTAGTCAAGTACCTCTGCTGAAACTTGAGCACCATCTAACGCCGGAGCCTCACCGATCCTCGCCCTGAAGCCCCCTGCATGCGTCCACATCAAAATCACCACAGCTGCAGTTCAGATCTCCAGAACATCTAGTACGTAGCGACATTAACACACATGAAACTATGAAACGAGGAGTTACTTGTGAAACGAGCGGTTTGAGCGGGCGCGACGACGAGGAGAAAGAGGGCGAGCAGGATCACCAGCAGCCGGCCGGCCGCCTGCAGCCTCGCCATGCCTTTGCCTTCTTCTTCCACGTCGACACCGCAGGAGCGGGCGTATCTGACCCTTTGGCTGGACGAGGCGGCGAAGTTAAATAGCTGCGACGACCGGCGAGGCCATGGCGTGCGTATCCGGCTGTCCGCCCAGCCCTCTCGCGTCTTCGTAGAGCCCACAGCTAATCATGGAGGCCTGGAAAAAACACGCGGAGAGAAAAAGAAGTCTTTTTCTGACGCCCACCACCAACGCAATTGGCCGCCTACCTAACACGGCTTTGTCCACTGACCAGTGATCGCTGCACTGCTGGTGCTGCGGAAGATAAGAGAGCCCCAGCACTAGCTGCTAGCCTGCTAGCAGTAGTAGATGGCCTTGCCGCACGGGGCACGGCTCCAAGCAAGGGCAGCGTCCCAAGATCTCCCCATCTGCTGACGTGCTGATGGCCACCCTACGTTCTGCTTTGCATTGGCGTCAGACTCACATCACACATTCTTCTTTCCTTTCTATTGTTTTTGTTACGGCTTTCTATGTTAAACTCCTAAGGGTCTGCTTGGAACGCGAAAATTTTCCTATTTCTATATTTTTTCTCTAAAATTAAACTAATTCTTATAAAATTTCTACGTGATTCATGTGAAATTTCTATGTTCGGCCCCAAAGGAGTTCTGGAACCACCAATCTTACATCGCTTGCTGCTCTTGTTATATCAGATTCACGTCACAAGTTCTGCACAAGTTTACAGGTTTACAGGTTTGGTTGCAGCTTTAGCACGTTTGTTTTTCCAAGCACTGTCTGCTTTTTGGCCACAACGCGTTCTTGGGCAGTAGCTTCAATCTTTTGTCAGGCTGTGTTTAATTCGCAAAATGAAAATTTTTGATGTCACGTCGGATGTTTCGAGGATATTAGAAGGGTTTTTCGCATACTAATAAAAAAACTAATTACATAGCTCACCTAAAAATTGCGAGGTGAATTTATTAAGCCTAATTAATTTATCATTACGTATGGCTAATCATGGACTAATTAGTCTTAAAACATTCGTCTCACGATTTTCAACCAAACTATGCAATTAATTTTTTTTCATCTATATTTAATACTCTATGTATATGCCGTAAGATTTGATATGATAGTTTAGGGTGAAAATTTTTGAAAATTAAACCAAGCCTCAGAGTAAGCATATACTACCTCTGCAAGCTCCTATCCGGCTCTGCAAAGCATATACCCAAGCCGAGTTGGACATCGGTTGCATAGCTGGAGGCTAGGGCTACTATCTTGAAGCGTTAGGAAGCCCTAAGTGATGTCCACTTTGGAGTGACTGGCACGATTTGCTTTCTACCACTACGACTACCGTCTCTGGTCAGTTAAAGCTGTCAGGCTTTCAGTCTGTGGACGAATGAAACAGACGATAGCCTATTCGCTAGGTCATATCTGACTTATAAGCCATGTCTTATCAACCAATGAATAATATTTTTCTCTTATACTAAATCAGTCAACAATACTTTAAATCATGACTTATAACACAAACAAGTCCAAACAAGCAGGGTGGAGAAATATGTGGTCAGATGCGTCATGCTGATTGCTGGTATTAGCAGATGCTGTCTTTCCTTTTCAGCTCTCGCCACTGTCGATCTTCTTCTTATGCGTGACACGTACGACTGCATAGAGATGAACGAGGCTATCTCCAACAACAACACCCAAAATACAAGATCTATTTGTTCTTTGATAGCGCTATAGGCAAAAGGTTCAATACATATTCGGTATCTTTTTCAACAATAAGACCCAAAAGAGAATCCTTTTCTGCAAATGGGT